CCTTTTCTTCCCATTCTATGTAAAAGGAGATCACACGATAACTTGAAGTACCGTGATTAATTAATTTAATTTAATATTACGTTTAGTAAACGTTAAAAATAACGGGTTTATATAGGCATTTCTTGTTTTATAATGTTTAAAAAAAAAACCTTTTTGAATTAAATAATAATGTAAGTCTTGCTCATTAATATGATAATTGATATTTAAATATGTTAAGATTTAGAAATAATATTGAATAAAATTAATATAAATTAATAATATTATTATGAAATGTTTTTCGAATTTAATTCAGACTAAGCTTTTAATAGAATTAATTAGTTTAAGTTTAAATTTAAATTTAGTCAAGACTTTAAGGGATAAGCTATAAATTTTTTGTAATATATGAAAATTATAAAATTTTATATATATATTAATTTCGTATAATTGTATTGTATTATTATTTAATAATATTTAATCCGTATCACCCGTTAAACTCGAAAAGACTTGTGAATTAAATTTTGCATATTTTGTTCGTTATAGACCAAATATATTATCTAAATAAATAAATCTTAAATAGGTAATTCTTAGTGGATATTAATGTTTCTCATGTTTTCAAGATAATAAATTTTGTTAATATTCTTAGTATTTTATACATTGAGTCGATAATTGCAATGTATTGAAAATTCAAGCGTGCTAACTAATTTTTCCTAGTAATTATTATAAAAATGTCTGCAATACAGTTCAATATGATTTAATATGTTCCCAAATATTATATCACTTGTATAGACTAATTTTCCGTAAGGCGAAGAAAACGAGTATTATTTTTTTTTCTTTTTGGACTATTAAAAGCAGCTGGAGCGCCAATATGTCGACACCTATGGGCACTAATGGACACAAACGTCGAAAAAAATTTCAGAGAATTAATTTATAAATTTATAAATCATTGTTCCATTATATAACATAAAAATAAAATTCGTTTGACGTCACATACAGCGCAGTCATAAAATAAACGATAATTTAAAACGAATTGTGGAAAGAAAAATTAAAAATTATATGCCTTCGCGTTTGAATTACCCTAAAATCCTCAATGATGGAAAGTGGAACGGTATTTTTCTTTTTCTTCTTATTTCTTTCTCGTACGTTATGAGTATTTGACGAATGATTTAATATATAAACGGTACGACAATGGACAATAAATTTGCTCGCAAAATAAAATTTCCAAGCGCATACCTCGTAAGCACAGCTCTGGTCACAAAAGCCGTTAACATCAATTATTAATCTTGATGACACCGAGCGCATAAAAAACTATCAAATCCCGAATCATTAATAATGATAAAAAAAAAAAAAAAAAAAAAAAAAAAAAAAAATGAAATAGAAAAAGAAAAAGGAAAGCCAAATAATAATAATAAAAAAATAAAAAAAAAATAGAATAAAAGAAAGATAAAAGAAGATGGAGGAGGAGGGGAATAAAAGGAAAGAGCGATGAAACGAGTTGGGCACGGTGAGAGTTAAACGCGATCAGGATCGTTGTCCATTGAGCAGCGTCGAAGCGGCATTGGGTCCCCCGACAATGAGCGACATCCCTGTTGATATCGCATTGAAAGACGAAACCGTACATGGATTTTCAATTAAAATGGACTTATCGAGCCGCGTGAATGAGAGCGGCCACGCGTGAACGGCTCTCGACTATCCACCGCCACCGCCCCCTCGTCCCTGGGCTTTCCACGCACGGCGGGAAAAAGCGTCCGTTCGAAAGAATTTGAAATTACGGTGAAGCGGCGGGGCAGAGAGGGACACGTGGCTGGCGCGCGCCCGGTAATATCGAGCTCCGCGGCAAAGAGGGTTAAGAGCCCTGTGCCACGGGAACGGAAAGAATAAAAAAAAAAAAAAAAAAAGGGGGAAAAAAAAAGGGGGGGGGGGAGGGGTGCGTAACGGACGCGCGCCAGGTGCGCTCCTCTTCCGGACAGCCGTCGTCCTCCCGCGCGTCCCTCATCCGCGGCAGTTGCGATACCGGTGGCCGACTCGACGCGACGCCCGACTCAACCTGGGACAGAGTGGACGCGCAGTCGTCGTTACGCTGGCGCAAGGATATCGTCCTCGAGAGAAGGGAGGGATTTGGGCCTTGGCCTTGGCGTCTCCTCGTTCACGTATGCCTTATCATTTCGTATCGCTTGAGCTATTGTCGGATATTAGAATGGAGGGTGGCTCGCGATCGTGGATTCGAAAGTTTTTTCAGTATCGGCAGTGAAGGTTTTTGCACTCGCGCCTGCATAATTATTAACGAATGACGAATTGAGGCAATCGAGTGCTGCTTTTAATTCGTTGTGTGATAAGGGCGGCTGTGCGGTGAATATTATAATTGCATTATTTTATATCGTTCGTATTGTAAATGCTCGACACCATTGATAAATAGTTTAACGAAGCTCGCCAAGAGCATAGAATTGTAACGCCCGTAATCCCGGACACGAGTCGCGCTATTTCTCATCGCAAGCTTTTCCAATCGCAATAATACTTTTTGTGGAAATATAGCTTTGTTGGATCTGCGACGAGGTGAGGTAATTACATTGAGATGAACAAAGGCGACTAGCTATAAGTTTGAAAATGTGTGGATTAATTAATCGTGGCGCAAATGAGATCGTAACGGCTTTTAATTCGTACGTAAGAAGTAACGTAAGAACGTAACACGTAAGAAGCAAAACACAACGAGTGGGCGAATAACAAAACTTTATCGCAGTAAATTCTGCTTCGCGGCATTGATCATATTACCTTCCTTCCTATTGCCATTTTTCTTCCCAAAATGTATTTCACTATTTTTATTTTGCATCAGCGTATAAATAATCCCATATATAGAATTATAGTAATAAAATGTGTCGCGAATGAAACGATCCGTCCTGCCAAAAATAAATCAACGAAGGCTTAATAAATTTCATCCATTGATGTTTACAAGTCA